CATGGTCATTAAAGCTAAACAAGGAGCTTAATGATCCTTGAGAAAACAGTATGGTTTGAAGCAGAGACTTAGGTAAATTAAGTAGTTTTGTGCAAAGTTAAAAACCAATAAAGTAAACTACTTATACCAGCTTACTAGTCTCATCTTTTAAAAGGCAGCCTTTTCCAAAGGAGGTTAGAGACTTTCACCCTGTGGTTCTATGTCCATATTTCCAAGTTTTTACTTTCCCCTTAAGTCAAACTAAAAAGTTTAAGAACAAAGTGTGTATTCTGTTATTGAGGTCAGTTTTCTTCCATGAAGAAATAGTACACCTTTTGTGTGCTTAAGTCAAATAAGCTATTGGAGTGTTCTACTTAATATCTGATACCACCTAAGTTTCTTCTGGGTAGCAGTGAGGTCTGTTAGATCACATGCTCATTACTAACCAAGAGGGATCCAGGATTATGAACGGTAAATTCTCCTTAATTGTGATAAATTGTTAAGCATTTGGAGGAGAATCATCTTTGTTTAATACATCTATTCCTGTTTCTGTTCTTATAATATTAATAACATTTATATAAATATGTCTTCAAGAACTCTATGCTTTAAAGCACTATAAAGTGCTTTACCTAAATTCTCATTTGATGCTCACAACAGCCTTGTGCTGATACCACCAGATAAGGGCCATGGTCAGGTAGTGGAAAGAATAATGAATGAAGGAGACTATGCTCAAATTCCAATTCTCTCACTTACTACCTTTGGGACCTTGGACAAGTAACTTCATTTCTTCAGGCTCATCAGCAAAATGAGGGGTTGGGCTAGACCTCTGAGGTCTTTCTTCTGGCTTTAAACCAACGATCATATAAATTCCATTTTGAAATGAGGAGACTGAGGTACAGAGAGGTATTGTAATTTATATTACTCAGCTGCTAATACAGCCAGTGAAAAGTTTGTTGCTTATTCAATTCCTTTACCATATTCATGTTTCAAATTTATACTTACAATCAAAATGAGGTAACTGGACTAGATTATTTCTACAGATCTATAGTAATGAGTCAATATAGTTTAGTTAATGAATAAATTTTAAAAAACTAGTAAGCACTTACTACATATAAAGGTGGGGGGGGCAGCTAGTTGGCACAATGGATAGAGTACTGGCCCTGGAGTCAGAAGTACCTGAGTTCAAATTCGACCTCAGACACATAACACTTACTAGCTGTGTGACCTGGGCAAGTCACGTAACTCCAATGCCTAGCCAAATAAAAAAATAAAATAAAATAAAATAAAAAAATAAAGGCTAGGAATACATATGGAAAAGTTTCATCTGCAAGTCGGACAGAAAGTCCACATAGTCTTTAGAGAATAGCAGCAAAGCGGATGCTAATGTGTCTTTCTTTAATGTTATTTCCACCAATAATATCATATCCATTTCTGAGGTTAAACCATTTGACAATGCCAAGGACTTTGGTGTTCTTATGTTGTTGCCAGGTTACATCTCCACAAGGGTTGGTTTTCTAAATGATGACTACAATGGCTGTTCTAGAAGTGGGGCTGCTAGTGTGGATGGGGCACTGTCTTTCAAAGGGACGCTTGGGCCCAGGATCCTAGATTGTCTCCACTGCGGTCTTGTGGAACATGATAGCTTTGACTGACCTGGCACATGCTGCCTCCTATCTCTCCAAGGTGTATTGCTACTTCAGTTAGGCTGGCTTGCCTACTCTTTGAGTAGCAGTTATTGGCAAATGGTGAGAATGGCTAGGTCCTGCTCCATAATAATTGTTCCCCCTAATTATAGCTGCAGGGAGTAGACTGGAAGTGGAACCAGTAGTTTCTGAGTATTGTTATCCCTGGGGCTTTTGGGGCTTACCTGCCTATAACTGGCAGTTAGTGGTGGTTAAGGAAGGAGATATTCAAGTATTCTCAAAAGACAGATCTTACTAAAGCCATGGTCACCTTTTATATTTTCTACTTCTTTTTTTCAATCAAGTGGCCCTGAGTTGATATTCATAATATAGTATTTCCACTGTTAAGTCTTCATGAGCCTATTACCTTAAAGGCTATCTTTTACACCTTCTCATTAACTATAATTCTAGCTCTAGTTCTCTCCTCATTTCAAATTGGCAGTACATAACTAAATACGTATATACCAAAAGATAACATATACATGTGTATATGTGTATCATATATAAATATATGATATATTTTAATATTTTAATAATTTAATGTATATTTTAATATTTTAATCACTCGACTATCAGAGATGATGACTGAAATGGAATTTCCAGTTTCAACATACAAAAACCTAATTTCCTAATTTTGTACCCCAAAGTATGTATATGATTGATTCACTATTGTATCCAGTACTGGACCTGTCTCCTTATCTTTAAAATGATGGAACTTGACTAGATTAGATGGCTCCTGGCTTCCAGTACTAATTCTTTGACCCTAGTAAACCAATCCTGAGGCCCAGGAGGAATTACTCTGTAAGCTAGTCTGAGTTTTGGAGACAACAATCCCAAAGCATCTAAAAGAAAGGCAGTCCAGAGGATTTAAGGACCTAGCTTCTAAGGGTGAGGAGGAGGGTCTTTGAACCTGGGTATTTAAAAAAAAAAAAGTCCATCCTTATTTTTGCTAACCTTTGGGTTTTTCTTTGTTATCTTATGTTTTTTATTTTATGCATTTAAAAACATTATTCTGAGAAGAGAGCCAAAGTTTTTACTAGATTGACAAAGAGGTGCATGGCAACAAAAAAGATTTAGAACCCCTGCAAAAGAAGTAATTACCTTTAAAACTGTTTTTTTCAAACAAAAGAAAATCAATTCATCTAAAGCTCCACAGGCCAATTTAGTAAAACAAATTTTAAACAATTAAGTCCACCAGGTCTGCCTAATTCAGTACTTACATTCTTTTCCTTCTCTTTTTATATCACACTGTTAACAAGGCATATAGGTACAGTTCAGGACAGCTTCTCTCTGCCGGGTACAAACTTTGGATTGAGGAGCAATTAATCTAAAAATATTTGTTGTTGCTGTTTAATCATTTCTCAGTCGTGTCTAACTCTTTGTGAGCCCATTTTGGGGGTTTTCTTTGCAAAGATACTGGAGTGGTTTTCCATTTCCTTCCCCAGCTCATTTTACAGGCAAACTGGGTTAAGTGACTTACCCAGGGTCACAAAGCTAGTGAGTATCTGAAGCCAGATTTGAACTCAGAAAGAAGTCTTCCTGAGTCCAGGCCTGGCACTCTATCTACTATGCCACCTAGCTGCCCAATCTAAAATATAAAAGACCTAAAAACCAAACCAACTTGTATGACCTTTCTTGGTCTTTAAAAACCAAAGCAAGTTAACAGACAACAGTAAATTGGATAATAAATCCGATTACTGATCAATCTGTCTCCTACCAGAAGCTTTCTTCAATCTGCTCCTTACCTGTTTCATTTATAAAGTATATATCTCCAATCAGAACTGACTGCCAGACAACTGTCAAACTATATTTAACCAAGAAAGGTTAAATCTGTCAACATTAATTAGCTACTTGTTAAGCTTCTGGATTTCCTCCCCCCTATTTTGGGTAGACTTTTACTCAGTAGTGTAGGTAAATACCTCAAAAGATTAAAGAGAGGAAAGGGGAAGGGAATGAGCATTTTATGTTGTGCCTACTACGTACCAAGCACTGTGCTAAGTGCTTTACAAACATCATCACCCTTCATAAACAGAGCTCCTACCAGCTCTCCTCTTTTATCTTTCCCCAAAACCATTTTCATCATTCAAGATTCATACCAAATTAAAAAAGATTTTTCTTAATCTCTAGAGCAAGAGTGTGAGGTATTATGTGTAAAATCACAGGATTTAGAGATAGAAGGAACCTTGGAGATTATCTACTTAAAGCCTCTCCCTTAGAGATGAGAAAATTTAAGCCTTAAAGAGGTTGTAGGGTGCCCACTATCACACAGGTGTAAAGTATCAGATCTAAGATTGAATCCTCAGTCTTCTAACTCTAAATCAAGGTTTCCAGCTACTCTTCTACAATGCCTTTCATTTACTTTAGACAAGATTATCCTTTAAACTATTCCACTATTTAAACTATTCCACATTGCCTTTCATTTGCTTTAAACAAGAGCCTTTGTGTTTAGAGGCTCTGTGTTGGGGTCCCTGTCACTCCTCCATCAATGAGCCTATAATAATAGCTGAGATAGTCCAGCAAAGGCACATGGGTAAGAGAGAGATTGTGGAAGCAGAATGTCCAGACTTAAAAGCAACATGGCACAACAGTAAGGAAACTCCTTTACTTTACGTGGTAAATCCTGGTTTAATTTCTGGCTCTGATATTTCTTAATTAAGTGACCCTGGAAAATTAAACTTCTCTCTTTGGACTTCCATTGCTTCATCTTTAAAACAGGAGCAGTACCTACAACTATCTACTTCAAGGCTGACAACTGTTACTGGTGAATAATTAAATATGGAATTAGGGAGAAAGGGGAAGAAAAGATGACTTGGAGATTTCTAGCCTAAGTCATTAGGAAAATTGTGGTATTATTTCAAAACCAGAGAAGCCGGAAAAAGGGGCATGTTTAACGGTAGATGAGGATAAGTAATTTATGTGGGCAGTCCTGGTTTCAAAACCTGGCTTTGCCATTTGATTCCCTATGTGAGCATAGGCTAGTCATGTGCTCTCTTTGAGCCTCAAGTCTTTACATCTGAAAAATGTCAAGATTGGACCAAATGGCCTCCAAAGTCTCAAATCTCTGACCTAAGACCCTATGTCTGATTACTCTTCCATGTTTACCAAAGCTGACAGCCAAGAAAATGATAGTTTATTGAACACTAAGTAACCAATGATGAAATCAAGGCAACCTGTACCAGTCACAATCCACAATACAGTGGCCCTACCCACCCACCTGTGTCACATATCAAGAAAAGTATTTTAGAGGCAGGTCTTACCTTAGTTATAGTGACAATTTTGATATACCTAAAAGAAAATGTACTCAAGGAAATTTGAAAATTTAAAAAAAAATCATGATACTCCAGTTTAAATTATTTCTTTATTTATGTGAAAATTCTACAAGTATTATTTGCATTTGAAAATGAGGCTAAAAAAAGGTCAAGTCACTATGTGACTTATTACAGTCATCTGACGCATTAACTTAAGTAAAAGCCAATAATCATGCAAATTGATAATGGGGGAATAGATTTAAGTAAATTTTTTTGTATAACCTCAAAAATTCATTTTTAAATCTATCTTTTATGAAGCACGACCAATTTCTCATCAAAATCAAACAAAGCATTAAGGAGTTAAATAAATATCCCTGTTGCATGCATCTGTATTCCTGATCATATTCAGGACATATAAACATTTAAAACCCAAACTAAGGCCTCAACATTTTCTGGTTAAGAGATTTAATGAAACGTCTATGAAAAGAACAAAAGAAAAACTCACTTTAGTGAAATTATGCTACAAAATATAATAAATTATATTAAAATCACAACATAATCATTTTACCTTAAAATCAGACACAATTTTGACAGAAAACATTAATATTTTACTTTAATATGTTTCATCTATAGAAAGAAAAATTCAGATAAGTTATACAATAAATTCTAATCCAAATACAGTTTTAAGTCCAGAATAATTCAGATTATGGGAAATTTTTTGTAATTATACAGGGCTTTTTCTCCAGCTGTGCATCACAAATACTTTAAAAGGTGAAATACAGGCACTTGACAATAAACTATGCAAGGCATAGCGATCCTTATTGGTAATGGTATAACAGAACTCCCAATAAGAGGAAAAAATAATGGCATTTCCTGACCTCTCTCCTCAGCTAAAGGGTTGTTATAAGGTCTTCAAATGATTTGTATCTATTGTCTTACCTCAGCATTAGCTGAAAACATGTCAAAACATTGCTCCTGATCTTAAACTTTTTTTAACTATGAAATGGATCTATGAATTATGAAATATATCCTTATGTATAGCAAACACAGGTGCAGATGCTGGAGACAAAAACCAAATATCAACTTATTTACCTGAGGCAAATTATTTTTCTTCTTCAACAAGGCTAAGCAGCATAGTATTAACAAAGCTTTCTATTATATTATGAACAAAAAAACCTAATTAAAATTATTTCATGTACATTTTTAAAATACAGCATCTTTCTGACCATCTTTATCGAAGAAAATCTTTTTTCCTAAAACATAGACTTAGTAGTTTTACTATCAGGCATGTTCAGATATTCTACAGAGATTTTAATTGGAAAGTCCATTTAAATAGAACTGCACAGAAGTACAACTGCATTATATGGTTTGCAGGGAACAGGAAGAGTGCAATGTGTGTTTTGAAGCATATAACCTTCTCCTGAAAAAACCCCAAGAAAAAACTATTCTTTACCAATAAAAGCTATGACTTTTTTTTTTCTCCTCAAACAAGTTGGTGATTCAGATAAAAGGGCTATCTAAGCATCCCTGGTGAAGTGGCGTATTGCTAAAGACACCTGACATGAGCACATAGTTAAAGACAACAACAAAAGTTTAGAGATTTAAACATTTTTTACTTCAAGAAATAACTTCATAGTGATAATAATGGATCAGCCATAAATTATTTTTCTGCTAAAAATAGGCATTTTCTTTACAAGATAAGATGTAACTAACACCCATTACATTAAGAATATCATTTTGAAAATTAAACCCAAATCTGTGGTTATAAATAGAAAAAGAGGCACTTTCAGTTTTTATATAGTTTGAAATCTATAATGAACAGAAATACATCAATTTAATTCCCAAACTAAAATTAAAAGTACCAAGACATGTAGTTAGCACACATTCTATCATTCCTTAGTTACTCTGACAACATAAAAGCACAGTGACTTTTTAAAATAAATAATTTAAAAATAAGATCAATATTTAAAAGTCAAGAAGGAGAACTAAGGAAAAATAAAACCAAAACAAAGCCAAAATCATTACTATTCATGTGCAAACTAGAAGCTATTTCTCCACAGGCATTGCATGAACAAAATTTTTTATTTAACATTTTGCACTCAATTATAACCCTTTACTTTCCTATTTAACTGTTTAGCCAAGTTTTTTTAATGCAAATTTTGACTTTTTTGCTAAATTAAGTAACTTTTAGCCTAACCTTTGGAAGACTTATTGACTCTCTGCAAATTTCTGGCAATGGAAGAGAATTGTACAACTGCTACAGCCTCATATTTCATACAACATATAAACAGAAATAGAATGACTAATTAAAAAACAAGGAAAAGAAGATTTTCAGGCAAAAAACCCTAGAATTATAATTATGGCATGAAAAGAGTTTTGTGGCAAATTACAAATCAACACTGGTTTTTTAATGGAAGTCATCCAAAATTAACATCTGTAGCTTCAGAAGTCTTGGGATCCCAAGAGCCTAGAAGTTTCTAGATAAGGCAGTCGAATTCAAAACCAGTGTATACATTCACACAGAAAATGCAGTATTTTTGGTTATCTCAACAATTTGAAATACTGGAAAAATCCAAATGTGGAAAACAGGCACAAAAGAGGTTTTCTATTTTTTTTAAATGAAGAAAACAGATGAATCACCTACTGATAAACTAATTAAAAATAACAGAAAAATATAAGAATCTAAACAAAACCAAGCATACGGGTGCAATACTGAGCAAATTTTGGTTTGACTATACATAGATATCAAGAAACATTTTCATTTATGAAGTATTTCAAATTGTGATTATCATTCTAATTCTTCCCAGTTATCGGTAAGATTACCTTTGCTTTGACGTCTAATGCCGACCAATTTTCCAGCTGATTTGATACTCCACCTGGAACTGTTTCCTGAGCTGGTCAGGTTGGTATATTTAGTGGAACCTTTAGTCTCATCTTCCCAACCCGGCCAGGAGAGATGGTCCCTAGAAGAGTCACTTTCATCAGTGGCTACATCTTCAAGAGTAATTTGAGGTGGCTCCCATCCCTCCATCTCATCTGGTTTCTTAGATTGTATATTCTGTTTTAACACCAAACTGTCCCAAAATCCAGATTTCTTTTCAGTCTTCACATCTTCTTTTATTCTTAAGTTAGTTCTGAGGTAGATGAAAACATTAAATATTGAACAACTTTCTCCAAAAGACACTTTAATATTTGTATGTTTCCAATTAAACCAATTCTTCAAAATAATTTAGGCATATAATATATCAGGTAGTTTTTAACTGGGGGAGCTACTAAAATCATTTTGAAAATATCATTCAAAACTTTAAATTTACAAAATTAACATTCCCAAGCAATCTAAAATGAACACCAAAAATTAATAGTTTATTGAAATTTATCAAAGGATTAGTTACCAAAAGATGAACTGGGATAGGGGAAGACATAGCAACTCATGAAGAAAGACTATTTATTTAGTAAGGTGTTCAGGGGGTCACAACCTGCAGAGGTAGAGGGAATGTCGCATATTTGGCATTTTTCTTATTACTGAAATTAGAGATTTCCTCCTAGAACTCTTTTAAAAAAATTTTTTTTAGTAGAAGTTCAGTCAAATTTACAAGCAAAGAAAAGAGCTTTGGTTCTTCATTGTGAGAGAACTATGGCTCTGCTAAGATAAGGATAATGGACTAAAGGTAAATTTTAGGATAAGAAATGGAAACTAGGTTAAAAACAATAAACTGTACACCAGTGGTGTCAGACACATGACCCACTGTGGATGGCATTTATGGGCCTAATCAGATTAAAATGTAATTGGAAAATATTTAATAAAATAATAAGAATGCAATAGAACATAGATAATATTAATGTGTTCTTTTAATTTAATATGTGGCCCAGAAGGATCCTTATGTATAGTTTAGTGGCCTCTGTTTCTATTTGAGTTTGAAACCATTGCCGCACACAATTTACTTTAAAGAACTTAGAAATCTGAATCAGACTCCATTTAACTTTACATTAACAGTTACCATGAAAAAACATTTGGGGGAAGGAACAATGGAAGGATCAGCTTGACACCATATTATGATGCAAACTGATAAAAATATATTAATAATTGCAAAATGCTATTTGAGGTATGACAAAAAATATAGGTTACAATCAAGAGGTGGTTATTCAATTTACAAAAAGGATATGCAACTGAATGCCTTTAACTAGGATTCTCCCCCTAAGCGAGTTTAATAAGTGCCTTTATTTTCTTTAAATGCCTAAAATTCAGGAAAGCATCTATTCACAAAGTAAACTATGCCTAGAATTGGGAAAGGGTTCCATGACATAAACAGACGGAAAGAAATCTTTAAAAATTATCTAGTTGATCATCCTGCCTATTAACAGGACTTAGTGAAACCAGTTCATCCAGAAAAGAAATGTTGTTTAGGTCAAATCTACTTAGCCAGCTAAAGTAAAGTGAAAGGTTATAATAGTCAATAGAATAAAGAAAAGTACTTGCAGTCAATTCATCTTTTAAAAATGTACATACTGGTATTACCAATGTAATAATATATAATAAAAATAATTTACATGCACATGTGCATGTAAATGTATATATTTGTAAAGCCACTAAAACTTAATACTGCCTAATTTCTAATGTTTGTTTTATCTTCTAAAGCTCTTTTTATGCTTGAGTATCACTGAAGTTGCTTAAAGGCTAATTAATTACTTCAAGTTAAAATTCAAGTTTCAGTAATAACAAAAAAAGTCCCAAAATTTCAAAATCATATCAAACTGAATGCACTGTTTCTTTAAAATACACAAATACCAAGATTTTAAAAATAGTTCAATTGGTTAATTTATAGGAACAGAAGTAAAGAAATTATGAAAGGTTTACAAGTATAACACATAATTGTAACATCATAAATATAGCTAATTTGTTGACCATGCACAGTTCCTTAAAAATAAAACGACTACCATTTGTCTCAAGTGTTAATAGGTGGCACAGTGGATAGAGCACTGGGCTTGGAATCAGGCTGACTCATCTTGATCAGTTCAAATCTGGCCTCAGACACTTTCTAGCTAAGTAACCCTATACAAGTCACTTAACCCTGTTTGCTCTCAGTTCTCCATCTGTAAAATGAGCTGGAGAAAAGGTCACAAAAAATAAGATATGACTCAAATGACCAAACAACAAAAATTTCCCAAAATGCTTGAAAATTAAAACACAGATACATTTTAATATAATTAAACTAGACACAATAAATCATTATCTTTATTCATTCAAGCCTGTTTTCCAGTCTTATTCTTTCAATGTTAATTTTTTTAACAATCTTTTACTACTTACCCTTTAAACTTTGGAGATTTGCATTTTTCTAGTAGTTGCTGTTCATCATCTTTATTAAACATTGAGGTCACTTCTTTCCAACCTCGGAAACTGGCTCCCTGAACCTAGTAAAAGATTTTTAAAAACTCAAAAAATCCTACAACATGAAATAATAAGTGAGCAGGGCAAAATCTTACACATGCTTTTCTACCTTATTCTAAGTTCTTCAGCATTATAGTGACCAATAAAGTCCTACTCTAATGCCTCATTATGGCAGAGTTCTGACGGCATATGGCTAGAGAAGATAGGATCTGGTAAGCTGAAAAGGTTTTTAATGAGTCCAAGGTAAGATAATTCCTATTGATTGAAGACTACCCTTAGCTAAATGAAGATACTTAAAACCAGAAAGCTACCAGCTTTTGAGTTTGGGAGATGGAAGCTATAGCAATTCATGAAAAACTCATGAAGGAGAAGGCAGAACCAAGATGGCAGAATAAAGGTAGCAATCCGAACTGACTCTTCCAACATTCCCCTCCACCAACTTTAAAATAATACCTAAAATCAAATTTTGAAGCAACAGAGCCAGTTCAGGGTGAGACATTTTTCTAGCCCAAGATAACTTAGGAAGTAAGCAGGTGAGGTCTGTGACACTTGGGTGGGGACTTAGCCTAGAGCACACACAGTGAGACAGCATTAGTTGTGGGCCTTGGTGGTTGCTGCCATAGTGGCAGCAGCAGCTTTTCAAGGCTCTCAGCTCAGAGACAGTAAGGCGGGGGGGTGGGGGTGGTTTGAAAGAACTGGTCAGAAAGATCGCAAGATGCCCTGACCTGGCACTGGGCACAAGAACCTGATGCATTGTACATATGCAATTTCAAGGTCAAGAGGAATATAAGCACTAGAGGGAGCAGAGGAGCAGAGGCCCTAGTCACAACTTCAAGGCACAAGGGAGCACTAGCACGTGTAGCTGCAGGGGAACAGTAAACTTTCCTGGGTAAAGACCAGAGAACAGGCCAGAAAAACAGTGGCCATACCTCTCCCTAGATCACCACTTTAAAAGCACCAAAAAAACTTAAGAGACCCCCAGAACTAGCTCTGAAAACAGCAGCACAAAAAAGCTTGAAGCTTGGAACACTGCCCAACTCTCACCCCAGGAAAAAAGCCCAAATTTAATATAAAGTTAAAAGTCAAAAAATAGGCTGGAAAAATGAACAAACAAAAAAAAAGGGGCCTAATCATAAAAAGCTGCTATGATGACAGGGAAGAACAAAACAAACTCACAAGAAGAACAATGTAAAGACAGCTACAAGGAAAGCCTCAAAGGGGAAAAAAAATGCAAACTGGACATAAGGCCAAAAAGAATTCCTGGAAGAGCTACAGAAAGCAATTAGAGTGGCTAAAGAGAAATGGAGACAAGAAATGAGAGTGGTTCGAGAAAATTATGAAAAGAGAGTCAATAGCTTGGTAAGCAGTACAAAAAATACTGCAGAAAATAGCGCTTTAAAAAAGCAGAATGGGGGGGACGGAGCCAAAATGGTGGAATAAAAGCAGTGACTTGCTTGAGCTCTCCCCCAAACCCCTCCAAATATCTATAAAAAAATGGCTCTAAACAAATTCTAAAGCAACAGAACCCACAAAAAGACAGAGTGAAGCAAATTTCCAGCCCAATACAGCCTGGATGGTTGATCAGAAAGGTATATCGTGACTGGACGGCAGAGGAGCTCAGTTCGTGGGCGCGCAGGCTGCAATGAACCTGGAGCAGGCCTCAGAGGACTGAATCACAGTCAGCTGTGGCAGTTGCCAGACCTCTCAACCCAGGAAGGCAAAGACAATTTGGAAGGTCAGTGGAAAAGTCTGTTTCTGCAGTGGTGAAGAGAGAAGCACAGTAGGGTTCCAGCCCCAGTCCCCAGGCCTGGCCCCAGGGCAGCAGCTGCCTCCTGAGCTTCTGGCCCACATACTGAGGGGGAATCGAGCGGCTGATCAGAGTGGGATTGCAGGGATCTCTCTGCTGGTGCAGGATTCTCTTGCTTTGCCCGTGCTTGGATCTGGGTCACAGTTCTGGGTGGCGGTCCTAAGGTGAGGAGGAGTGCTGGCATGGTGGCAGTGCAGAGAAAATTCTCCTCACAGTTCCAAGATAGAAAAGAGTGCTTGTGGTCACTCATAGACCAGAGCTTAGGCCAGGAAAGGATTTAAATGCCTCACCCCTTGTCATACCACCTTGGAAGAACTGAATATTTTCAGGTCCCTAGAAGTATCTCTGCAAACAGCTGTACAAACCCCCAAAGCCTGGCACAGTACATTCTCCACACTGGAAGCAGACTCCTACCTTAACAAAGAGTTTATAACTCAAGTAATTGGCTGGGATCATAAGCAAACAGCACAAAAAGAGTCAGACTATATTATCTTACTTTGGTGACAAAGAAGATCAAAACATACAAACAGAAGAAGACAACACAGTCAAAGCTCCTACATTCAAAGCCTCCAAGAAAAATATGAATCAGTCCCAGGCCTTGGAAGAGCTCAAAAAGGATTTTGAGAAGCAAGTAAGAGAAGTAGAGGAAAAAATGAGAGTGATGCAAGAAAATCATGAAAAACAAGTCAATGGCTTGCTAAAGGAGACCCAAAAAAATACTGAAGAAAATAACACCTTAAAACATAGCTTAACCCAAATGGTAAAAGAGGTCCAAAAAGCCAATGAAGAGAAGAATGCCCAAAAAAGAAAAATTGGCCAAATAGAAAAGGAAATCCAAAAGATTACTGAAGAAAATACTTCCTTAAAAATTAGAATAGAGCAATTGGAAGCTAATGACTTCATGAGAAATAATGGCACTGTAAAACTAATCCAAAAAATGAAAAAATAGAAGAGAATGTGAAATATCTCACTGGAAAAACAACTGACCTGGAAAATAGACCCAGGAGAGAGAATTTAAAAATTATTGGACTATCTGAAAGCCATGATCAAAAAAGGAACCTAGACATCATCTTTCAAGAAATTATCAAGGAAAACTGCCCAGATATTTTAGAACCAGAGGGCAAAATAGAAATTGAAAGAATCCACTGATCATCTCCTGAAAGAGATCCCCAAAGGAAAACTCCTAGGACTATTGTAGCCAAATTCCAGAGTTCCCAGGTCAAGGAGAAAATATTGCAAGCAGCCAGAAAGAGACAATTCAAGTATTGTGTAAACACAATCAGGATGACACAAGATTTAGCAGCTTCTACATTAAGGGACCGCAGGGCATAGAATATAATATTCCAGAGGGCAAAGGAGATAGGATTACAACCAAGAATCACCTACCCAGCAAAACTAGTATAATCCTTCAGGTGAAAAAATGGTCATTCACTGAAACAGGGGACTTTCAAGCATTCTCGATGAAAAGACCAGAGCTGAATAGAAAATTTGACTTTCAAAGTGAAACATGGAAGAAGTAAACAGAAAAGAGAAATCATAAGAGACAATTATTAAGGTTGAACTGTTTACATTCCTGCATGGAAAGATATTTGTAACTCATGAGTCCTTTGTCAGTATTAGGGTAGTGGGAGGGAAAAAAATTTTATGTATATATACAGACATAGATAGATAGATGGATAGATAGATGGATAGAGGGCACAGGGTGAGTTGAAGAGGAAGGGGTAATATCTGGGAAATAAAATTAAGGGGTGAGAGAGGATTATACTGGGAGAAGGAGAAAGGGAGAGGTAGAATGGGGTAAATTATCTCACATGCAACAGACAAGAAAAGGCTTTTACAGTGGAGGGGAAATGGGGAAAGGTGAGAGGGAACGAGTGAATCTTATTCTCACAGGATTGGCTTAAGGAGGGAATAACATACATAATTGGGTATGGAAATCTATCTTACCTACAGGAAAATAAGGGGGGAAGTGGACAAGAGAGCAGGGGGATGAGAGAGGGGAGGGCACACTGGAGTAGGGGCTAATCAGAAGCAAACACTTCTGAGGAGGGACAGGGTCAAAAGAGATAATAGAATAAATGGGGGTTAGGCTAGGATGAAGGGAAATATACTTAGTTTTTCATAACATGGCTACTACAGAAGTGTTTTGCATGACTACACATCTATAACCTGTTATTGAGTTGCTTGCCTTTTTTTTTCAATGAGGGTAGATGGGGAGGGAGGAATGGAGAAAATTTGTAACCCAAAGTTTTAAAAACACGTTAAAAGCAACTGTTTATAAAATTTAAAAAAAAAGACTCAAATACAATGGCCAAAAATGCCTTGGCGGGAAAAAAAAAAACAGCAGAATTGGCCAAATGGTTAAAAAAAAAAAGACAAAAATTCACTGAGGGAAAAAGCTCCTTAAAAAGTAAAATAGGCCAAATGGGAAAAGGGGTACAAAAATTTTACTTCTCTTCAGTGAACTCCTTCAGAATTGGATAAAATAGAAAAAGAAGTACAAAAGCTCACTGGAGAAAATAATTCCTTAAAAATTAGAATTAGGCAAATGGAAGCTAATGACTCCATGAGACATCAAGAAACAATAAAATAAAGTCATAGAATGAGAAAAAAATAGAAAAAATGTGAAATATCTCACTGGAAAAACAACTAATCTGGAAAAGAGATCGAGGAAAGAGATTTACTGTACTATCTGAAAGCCATGATCAAAAAAATAACATAGACATTATATTCAAGAAATTAGTTTTTTTAATGCCCAGATATCTTAGAACCAGAATGTAAAATAGAAATGGAAAGAATCCACTTATCATCTCCCAAAAGAGAGCCTAAAATGAAAACTCCCAGGAATATTACAGCCAAATTCCAGAGTTCCCAGATTAAAGAGAAAATATGGAAAACAATCAGAAAGCAACCACTCAGATACCACAGAAACACAATATGGATTCACACAAAATTTAGTAACTTCGATTTTCAAGAAGTGGAGGGGTTGGAATATGATATTCCAAAAGGCCAAGGAACTAGGATTAATCCTAATCTAAAATTAACCAGGAATAATCTACCCAGCAAAACTAAGGATAATCTTTCAGAGTAAAAAATGGGCATTTCATAAACCAGAGGACTTGTAAACATTACTGATGAAAAGATCAGAACTGAATAGAAAATGTGACATTCAAACACATGATTCAAGAGAAGCACAAAAAGTTAACTTTGTAATGA